CCGTCACAGGCAGGGATGGTGGGGGATGCATGATAGGGGCTAGTAGGATGGCAGGGTGGGTTCTGGGTGTGGCAGGGGCCTAAAAATGGGTTGGGTGGGGCTAGATATGCATGCTAATAATTGTCATGGCCCCCATGGGGTGCAGGATGGGCTGGGGGAGCCAAAAACACGAAAAATCCAGAGACTTTTGCATTTTTAATACAAAACAATTGAATAACAAATTGAAAACTGAATATTTCATTGCGAAACTTTGGGGACCTTTGTATCTATAGTGGAGGGTGCTTCACAAGTATTTTGAGTATTTATTATGAATTATGGGGTGCGCCACACAGCCAGGAACAATGTGTGCGGCGGGGTTTGATGTGCTTTGCCAAATTTGGCAATATTGTGATGCCTGCATATCTGTGCATAATTCCGGCTCCCCCTGGCATTATTTTGCTTAGCTTTGGCTGAGCAAGATGTTGGGTACATTGATACCTTCCTGTAGACTATTTGATCGTGTGAAACGGGTGAGAACTCGTTGAGATATGGCAAACACGATTTTGGCTACTACAATGCATGGTGCACCCATGCATCCTCAGGTGTGTTTAGGCCCATTTAAGTCAGTCAAAAATCATGGAATACATGTCTGAGAGTAATAGTACCATTGATAATGCCAGGGGGTGTCTGGGTGTAGTATATCTGAGGGGGGGTATAGGTACACCAGGAGACCCACTCTGGATACCCCACTAAACATATCTCTGAAAGTCTGAAAGCTGGTACATGAATAGTGTATATTTATTCATGAATTTAACATATTTTATCATAATTTTATATTGCCTGGAAGTTGGGTTATTGACCAATTTCCCACCAGCTGAAATATTCTATTGACCTCCAGGATGGGAGATATTGGCACATGTAAGGCTATGATAAATGACGATAAATTCATATAAACAGAACTAGGTACTTGTGAGGGCAAGGGGATGATTCTGTGTAAAGTTATTAAGGGGAGAAGGAGGAGGTAATCCCTCCACATCAGTATCTATGTAAATACTTACCAAATCCACATATCGCATCCATTAAAGTGTTTGTTCAGGTTAGGATAATGTAACTTAGTATATTTCAGTAGTGATGGATGAGGCTCTGATGCATGGGTGAAATGGTATTAGAGAAAGAGGTGAAAATGCGCAAAAAACACGAAAATAATTAAAATGACTACCTTGGACTTGTTCAAAAATTACCAAACTTTGTACATGAGGACCTATTAACATCCTGAAGAGACTGCAAAAGATCAGATGAGATTCTGAGCAGTAGGTAGAAAGATATGCAAAGTGAACTTCCAAAGCACCAGATGCAACACAAAGCTGTTAGAGGATGGTGATGCTCTTGCTATCATTCTGATCCCCTTTTGCATATCTTTCTACCTACTGCTCAGAATCTCATCTGATCTTTTGCAGTCTCTTCAGGATGTTAATAGGTCCTCATGTACAAAGTTTGGTAATTTTTGAACAAGTCCAAGGTAGTCATTTTAATTATTTTCGTGTTTTTTGCGCATTTTCACCTCTTTCTCTAATACCATTTCACCCATGCATCAGAGCCTCATCCATCACTACTGAAATATACTAAGTTACATTATCCTAACCTGAACGAACACTTTAATGGATGCGATATGTGGATTTGGTAAGTATTTACATAGATACTGATGTGGGGGGATTACCTCCTCCTTCTCCCCTTAATAACTTTACACAGAATCATCCCCTTGCCCTCACAAGTACCTAGTTCTGTTTATATGAATTTATCGTCATTTATCATAGCCTTACATGTGCCAATATCTCCCATCCTGGAGGTCAATAGAATATTTCAGCTGGTGGGAAATTGGTCAATAACCCAACTTCCAGGCAATATAAAATTATGATAAAATATGTTAAATTCATGAATAAATATACACTATTCATGTACCAGCTTTCAGACTTTCAGAGATATGTTTAGTGGGGTATCCAGAGTGGGTCTCCTGGTGTACCTATACCCCCCTCAGATATACTACACCCAGACACCCCCTGGCATTATCAATGGTACTATTACTCTCAGACATGTATTCCATGATTTTTGACTGACTTAAATGGGCCTAAACACGCCTGAGGATGCATGGGTGCACCATGCATTGTAGTAGCCAAAATCGTGTTTGCCATATCTCAACGAGTTCTCACCCGTTTCACACGATCAAATAGTCTACAGGAAGGTATCAATGTACCCAACATCTTGCTCAGCCAAAGCTAAGCAAAATAATGCCAGGGGGAGCCGGAATTATGCACAGATATGCAGGCATCACAATATTGCCAAATTTGGCAAAGCACATCAAACCCCGCCGCACACATTGTTCCTGGCTGTGTGGCGCACCCCATAATTCATAATAAATACTCAAAATACTTGTGAAGCACCCTCCACTATAGATACAAAGGTCCCCAAAGTTTCGCAATGAAATATTCAGTTTTCAATTTGTTATTCAATTGTTTTGTATTAAAAATGCAAAAGTCTCTGGATTTTTCGTGTTTTTGGCTCCCCCAGCCCATCCTGCACCCCATGGGGGCCATGACAATTAT